GTCTTCCTTACATGGGTCTGCAGATCTGCTAAGCTCATGAAACAGTGGTGGGGATCAGAGTCACCAAAGACTCAGCAGAGTGTAATTGTTAAAATGCACATTTTGATTCTGCAGGTCCTGAGGGCAGAGCTAATATTCTTCTGAATTTCTAAGAGTTTCCCATATTGGTTGGCTCAGACATTCTTAGTAACAAAATGCTAGATTATTTTTCAAGTTCCTTCCAGTTTTATTTTTCTGCATGTTGTAGAACAGTGGCTCTCAGCCTTCCATTTTTTATCATTTTTTATTTTAATTTTAAATAACTTGTTTTACATGTCAATCCCAGTTCCCTCTCCCTCCCCTCCTCCCGCACCCCCTTCCCCCACTCCCTCCCACCCTATTGCCAAATCCTTCCACATAGGGGATATCTAGAGTCTGTCATTTTACTCTTGGTAGGGTCCAGGCACTCCCCTAAGAGTCCAGGCTGAGAGAGCATCTCTCTTTGTGCTATAGGCACACGAAGACAGTTTGTATACCAGGGATAGAAACTGATCCACAGCTCAGGGCCCCATAGGTTGCCCAGGCCTTCTCACTGACACTCACATTTGGGGGGTCCAGATCAGTCCCATGCTGGCCTCCCCACTGTCGGTCTGGGGTCCAAGAGCTCTCCCCTGTTCAGATCAGCTGTCTCTGCTGGTTTTGCCAGCCCATTCTTTGCCAATTTGCTCATCACTCCTCTCTCTCTCTCTGTCACTGGGTTCCTTGGGTTCAGTTCAGTGATTAATTGTGTGTTTGCCTCTGCTTCCATCAGTCACAGGATGAAGGCTCCTGGATGGTTATTGACATCAAGTTCATTATCAGGAATGGGCATTCGAGGTGGTACCTCCACTATTGCTTAGCTTGCCAATTGGTGTTATGCCTTTAGATCACTCGAGGTCACTCTGGTGCCTGATCTGTATTCGATCCTATGATTCCCTCTTCCCCCTATTCTACCCCCACCCCCTCAACTTCCTGTTCCCCCATGACCAACTCTCTTCCTCTTCACCCTCTCTTCTTCCCAGGTCCCACTCCCCCCACCCTCGCCGTGTTCCCCATCCATTCAGAGGATCTTGTCTCCATCCTCTTCTCTTGGGTACTATGCATATATGCATATCTTTTAGGTTCTTTCCTGTTTCCCAGACTCTCTATCTGTGGAAGTACAGACTGGCACTATCCTGATCCATGTCTAAAATCCATATATGAGTGAGTACATACCATGCTTGTCTTTTTGCGACTGGGTTACCTCACTCAGGATGGTTTCTTCCAGTGCTATCCATTTCCCTGCGAATTTCAAGATTCCATTGTTTTTTTCTGCTGAGTAATACTCCATTGTGTAAATGTACCACATTTTCTCTATCCACTCTTCAGTTGAGGGACATCTAGGTTGCTTCCAGGTTCTGGCTATTACAAACAATGCTGCTATGAACATAGTGGAGCGGATGCCCTTGTTGTATGAACCTGCCTCATTTGGATAAATGCCTAAGAGTGGAATTGCTGGGTCTAGTGGTAGATTAATTCCCATTTTCCTGAGGAATCTCCATACTGATTTCCAAAGAGGCTGTATGAGTCGGCATTCCCACCAGCAGTGGAGGAGTGTTCCTCTCTCTCCACATCCTCTCCAGCATAAATTGTCTTCGGTGTTTTTGATTCTAGCCATTCTGACAGGAGTAAGATGGTATCTCAGAGTTGTTTTGATTTGCATTTCCCTGATGGCTAAGGATGTTGAGCACTTTCTTAAGTGTCTCTTGGCCATTTTAGCCTCCTCTACTGAGAATTCTCTATTCAGCTCTGTACCCCACCTTTTAAGTGGATCCTTTGGTGTTTTGGAGACTTGTTTCTTGAGTTCTTTGTAAATTTTGGAGATTAGCCCTCTGTCAGATGTTCAGCCTTCCTAATACTGAGGCCCTTTAATACAGTTCCTCAAGTTGTGATCACCCCAACCCCAACATTATTCCACTGCTACTTCATAGATGAAATTTTGCTACTGTTATGCATCATAATGTAAATATCTGTGTTTTCTGGTGGTCATAGGTGACCCCCCTGAAAAGGTCATTTAATGCACAAAGGGGTTCACAACTCACAGGTTGGAAACCATTGGCATATTAATCTTTACTCAAATTCTATTAAAACTAATATATTTTTAGACATATACTTTATTTTCTTATTTTACCTATATACAATGGATTTTGATCATATTCATATCCCACTCCATCCTACCTTCTCCAAACCTCCTCAATATGTTCCCTTCCCAACTTATATCCTCTTCTGAATTTTAAATAACCAACTAAGTAGATTGAGAGCTGCCCACATGTGCATGTGTGTGTGGGCCATCCCCTGGAGAATGGGAAAACTATCAGTAGCTACACCCCAAAGAAAGATGATTCTCTCTCCCCTTAGCTGTCAACTGTCAATAATTCTTCACCTAGGGATAAGGCTTTCTGAGCTCCTCTTCTATTCATTCTGAAATTTTATTGTATTAATCTTATGCAGGTAAACTCAACTGCTCATAATTTCATGAGTGCAAAAAAGAAATCTCAATCCAGATATAGGATACCATTCATAAAGGTTATTGGTAAGGGAATCTCCAGAGTAACCCACCTTCCCCTTCAAATAAAGCAACTCAGGCTATTACCATTTCTCTTAGTTGTCCACTATAATTAGATTGTAGGATCCTATTGCTGAAGATAGCACATACTTTGGTTGTAAGAATTGGGTCTTTTCTTTTATTCTATGCTTATACAGTATATGCCGACCTCAGTTTTCCCTCCTTTCACACTTTTCCATACTCTGTCGACCTCCCCTCTCCCCATTATCCACTCTTCTTCTGTTTCCCTTGAATAAAAGAGCAGGCTTCCCAGGTTTATCAACGAGTTCTTGGCATAATAAGACTAAGCATATCAAGGCTATAGGAAGCAACCCAGTAGGAGGAAAAGGGTCCAAAGAGCAGGCAAAAGACTCAGAGACACCCCGGTTCCCACTGTTAGGAGTTCCACAAGAACAGCAAGCTATACCAACAATAATGTATATGTAGAGGACCTGGCTCAGATCTATATGTACTCTCTTATTGTCACTTCAGTTTCTGCTTAGTTGACTTTGTGGGTTGTGTTTTCATGGTGTTCTCGACCCCCTCTGACTCCTACAACCCTTCACCCCCCTCTTCTGCAGGGTTCCTTTGACACTGCCTAGTGTTTGACTGTGGGTCACTTTATCTGATCCTATCAGCTGCTGGAGGTAGCCTCTCTGATGGCAATTGGGCTAGTCACCCTATGGGTAAAGCAGAATATCATTAGGAATAATTTCATCGGATTTTAATTGGATTTTTACCCCAGCTATGTTTGGTTGTATCCTGGGTCTCTGGTCTAACCAGCCCCTAGTCCCTTGCTGTCCAGATAGTATCAGGCATGGGCTCCCTTTCATGGTGTGTGCCTCAAGTTGCATCAGTCATTTGTTGGCCACTCCCACAAGTTCTGCACCATAATTACCCCAGCACATCTTGCAGGCAGGGCAGATTTTAGGTCGAAGGTTTTGTGACTGGGTTGATGTCACAGTCCCACTGCTAGAAGCCTTCATTGATTGTAGAAGATGGCCAGTTCAGGCTTTGTATCCTCCATCACTATGAGTCTTTACTAGGGTCACTTTCAAAGATTCCATGGAATTTCCAAATCACCCCCAAGTACCCCCCATTCCACTTGCCTCTCCCAGTACTCTCTTCCTCTCCATTCCTATTGCCCTGCTCCTCTGTTTCCAGTCCCCACCTGCCCAGTCTACTCTCAAAATCTATTGTATTTCCCCTTTCCCATAGAGACCCATGTGACCCCTCTTGAGCCCTCCTTATTACTTGGTCTTTCTGAGTCTATGGATTATAGCATAGTTATCCTTTACAGCTAATATCTACTTATAAGTGAGTACATAGCAAGTTTGCCTTTCTGAGGGCTGGATTACCTTACTCAGGATGATTTTTTTCTAGTTCAATAAATTGACCTGCAAATTTTATGATGCCATTTTTTAAACACCTGAGTAATACTGCATTGTGTAAATATACCACATTTTTTATCCATTCTTCAATGTAAGGGACATTGGGGTTGTTTCCAGTTACAGGTTATCATGAGTAAAGCTGCTATGAACACAGTTGAGCAAGTGTCCTTGTGGTATGATAAAGTGTCCTTTGGGTATATGTCCAGGAGTGATATTGTTGGGTCTTAGGTAGATCAATTCCAAATTTTCTGAGGAACCACAATATTGATTTCCATAGTAACTGTACAAATTTATACTCCCATCAGCAATGGAAGAGCCCTTCCACATAGCTAGCTTTCATTGTGTCAGGTGATTTTATGTAAGCCTCTGGAAGAAAAAAAGACATCAATGGTCCTCTCTAGTACTGGATAGTACTGGACACTTTTTTGCTGTAATACTAACCTGACAAAAAGATGTGCCCACTGGTGCAATAGCGGCACAAATGTTGTGGAGCTAAAGAACTGCATTCTGATTAGGGTTGAGGAAATTTTTGACTGTGCCCTGTAAACCTATACCAAAAGACTCTGGCTAAGAAGGCCAGCAGCCCTAGAGGGGAATCTACTGTGTTGTTTTGCTAAATAATCATATTGCCAAAATACCTTCTAAATATTTGTGTATATCACAGATCTGCGCTGCTCTCAACCTTTATCAGAAAAACTTCTTTTTAGAATGGGAAGCAATTAATGCAGAGCCTCATAACTGACCTAAGTGCTAAGAATAAGTGACTGTGACTTCTCAGACCTACGTTATATATATATATATATATATATATATATATATATATATATATATCATCCTCACAGTGAGGCTCAGGGAATATTGCTGAAAAGGAGTCTAAGGAATGTAAGAGCTAGAGTATGGGGAGGGATTTTGTAAAACATTGTCTTCTGGACTTAATGTGGTCATTGAACACAGTGTTTTCCCATTTAAAAATGCCATATAATGAGCTTATTTTCTTTTACTTTCAGGTTTGTTGGTTTTTCCTCTACTTCAATTTCAATACAGATCTGAAAGGGTCTCAGAAAACAAGACCCACCAAGGAAAATCATCCCAGAATAGTAGCAGACCCACTGTGCCCTGAAGGAAACCTTTCTTCTGTGTGGGTCAAGCCAAAAATAAGCCCCACGAAATATCCTTCCAAATACCTGTAAAGTGATGATTATCTTATGGCAATTTGAAAAGCTGATTATGACATAGTTCAGAACCAAATAGAAGATATCCAACTGGCATGATGTCCCAAAGGCCTCACTAAAAAATAAACAAAAGAAGAAAAATTTACCAATGTTTTATGTGTGCTTGCAAAATAGATTTTCCTAGTTATCATAGACAAATCTAAGGCAAATATACAATCATTTTTGAAAAGTTCCCAAATCATATGTAAAGGCAAGCAATTGTGGCAAAAAGTTGTCTTATACTCTGTCTTTCTGACTCATTGACCAGCCATCTTGTGGAAAGTGCAGCTGTTACTTATGGATTTAGACTCTGAATGACCATTAGGCAAAGACAGTTTCTCTAGAAATAATCATGATTGATAATTATACATGTAACAAGACTGATGGAGACAATACAGATTTTCGGTATTTCATTTATGCAGTGACATACACTGTTATTCTTGTGCCAGGTCTCATAGGGAACATATTAGCCTTGTGGGTATTTTATGGCTATATGAAGGAAACCAAAAGGGCTGTAGTATTTATGATAAATTTAGCCATTGCTGACTTATTACAAATTCTTTCTCTGCCACTGAGGATCTTCTACTACTTGAACCATGACTGGCCATTTGGTCCTGGTCTCTGCATGTTTTGTTTCTATCTGAAATATGTTAACATGTACGCAAGCATCTACTTCTTGGTCTGCATAAGTGTACGAAGATTTTGGTTTCTCATGTACCCCTTTCGTTTCAATGACTGCAAGCAAAAATATGACTTGTATATCAGCATTTTCGGCTGGCTTATTATCTGCCTTGCTTGCCTACTATTTCCTCTCCTCAGAACCAATGATGATACCGCAGGCAACAGAACCAAATGCTTTGTGGATCTTCCTACCAGGAATGTCAATCTGGCCCAATCTGTTGCAATGATAACTATTGGAGAGTTGGTTGGGTTTGTTACTCCTCTTATGATTGTCCTATACTGTACCTGGAAAACAGCTTTATCATTACAAAATAAATACCCCATTTCTCAACATCTTGGAGAGAAAAAGAAAGCCCTGAAGATGATTCTGACCTGTGCAGGGGTATTTCTAATTTGCTTTGCACCTTATCACTTCAGCTTTCCTTTAGATTTCCTGGTTAAGTCTAATGAAATTAAAAGCTGCCTAGCCAGAAGAGTTATTCTAATATTTCATTCTGTGGCTCTGTGTCTGGCAAGCCTGAATTCCTGCCTTGATCCGATCATATATTATTTCACCACTAATGAGTTCAGAAGACGTCTTTCAAGGCAAGATTTGCCTGAGAGCATCCAACTTCATACAAAATCATACAAAATTGTGAGTAACCAAACCATTTCTACAATGGGAAATGATCTATGTTAAATAAAATCCAGAACTAAATGTGGCCTAGAATGAAAGTACAGAACACATTTGCAATACCCCATCAACAAGGTAGCACTCACAGAAAGTAGTAAAATCTTTTAAATGTGTTCTATATTACTTGAGTAGGGAATGCACATATTTATTACAGGACCTAGTTAGAACATTATGTTTCAACATCATTGCTGGTGACATGTCTATGCAGCAATGTATGACCAAGTCTTTAAGACTTAAGTGGTAAAATTTTGATAATACTCTATGCACATATGATCTCATCTAGAGACATCAGCATTATCTGTGAACCTAAGTCACAAAGAGATTACTAGCTCAAGATCACCCTAAGTACTGACTTTTCTTACCTTGGATGATGAATATATATGTTCAGAGAGATTGCAATATCTATTTGTAGTGGTGGTCACAATTTACATTCCAACAACATTTGGTTATGTTTAAAATGCGATGGACAATACTTTATGTACACATAACATTACAAAAATAGGATGATCTTTAATCTCTGAGGTGTATTCCATTCTATGATTTGAAAACTCCTATGCTTGGTTTCTTTGGTTAGTGTCAATATAAAATATCATCTGTCACATCTAATCATTGAATGGAATTATGAAATAATGCTTTGGTATATTTAAACTAAGAACAACAAAACAGTCATGACACATAATAATCATCTGTTATTGTATAAAATGCTACACTGAGTATTCTCAGAGCAGATAGTTTTCTAGAGTCAACTCAATATGACTTAGATGGCCTCTAAGCTTAAGAGAAAGGAAACAGGTGACAATCACTGTTCTGGCTCTCTTAAACTAGATACAAAGAGCACCTTCAGAAATGTATAAACCTGCCTAGTAGAGGGATTTTTATAGTGTTTTAGAATTACATCGAGGAAATCTAACAGGCTACTGCACTTACTGAGTCTATGGAAGTAACAGTGCACCATTAATCACTAAACTTGCTCCAGAATGAAAAAAATGAAGCAAAGTGAAGCATATCTATTAAAATCATCACTATTGTAGTTCATTCCTCAAGCTAAGTGGTGCCTGTCAATGCATCTACAAAAACTAGAGTAGGGCTTGAAGACACTGGTCATGTAGACTTTCAAGTCTACATTTTTTCAGTTAAGATGTATGAATATAAAACCTACACGGATTACCTCTCAGAAACTGTTGAAAGCAATTCTTTCACCTTTTGAGAAAAGTGTAGATCATTCTATCAGCCTTAGGCACTCCTTACAAAAGCTTTGCCTATTACCGACTGGGTACTATTGGGCAGGAAAAACTGGGGAATGTGGTTGTAAGTACTGGGATAGTCTGAATTATGATATACATTATAAATTGCATTAAAATGTTTTAATAAGGAAATGAAAATAGAACACACTCTTCTTTACATTGAGAAAAATACAGAAACTAAGCAAAGATTTTTATTTCCAGAAAAATAGGGTAGTTTTAGATATATAGTTAATTATACTATATGTGTGTGGGGAAGTTGGTTAAATCACCATTAATTCTAACTACCAATACTACTGGAAAACTTCTAAAGTGTTGTCTGAGCAAGTATTGATTATGCTTGTATATTTTATGAAAAAATACTGGATTAGGAAAGTGACCTTGTGCTGCTAGCAACAGTATATTTATGTATTTCCTAGCTATTCCTTGTAATGTACATATGTTTTTGGTGTATTAAATAAGTGTGACATTTTATTTTCAAAAGAAACTATAAGTGTGTTTGGTCTGTTTGTTTAAAGTGATTTCTGTTTGAGTGCAGTTTGTGTTGTAATGAGATTACAAGTAATCATTTGTGGAACTACAAAACAACTGTGGGTGCTTGGAATAGAAATTCTTCTTATAATATCTACACCTACTATTTTTTGTAGCATGTATTACACTTATTAAAGTCACTATGAGATCACTGTTTGAACTTTTTCTAACATTGATTTCACTATAATCATACTATTTTTCAGTATTTCTAGGATACTACTGACAATCTTGGAGTGTTTGAGGGTATATCTCACTTGTTAAGCTGTCCTTTTACATCTTTACGTAAAAGAAAAGTGTGTAATGATTTTTTGCTATTAATCTATGCAGATATGCCCATCTGGGTTTGTATTCAGCAACTGGCTTTCCTGAGTCTTCATCTTCCTCATTGATATATTTGAATTTTGCTCTATCTCCTTCCCCTCTGATCAACTTATTCACAATAAGGTGCTAATTATTAATGTTAACTTCATATTAATTTACCAAAAAACTCCTGAAGTTCATATCATAGGAATAAGCATTAACATGAAGTGGTGACATTCAATGGAGAGATTGCAGGCACGGGAAGATGAGCTGGGAGTAAAGACACTGCAAAGAGTGTCTTATAGCAATCCTTTCAAATAATGCATTACAGATGACAATATACTTTGCTTCTCATTATGAGGTTGCTAAATTCCAAGAAATATCACCATGAACATGAATATAAATTGCCAAGATTTTTTTCTTTAAATTTTATTTTTCCTTCTCTCCCTTCTAATACCAGAGTCAGCTTCTAGAGAAAAATCTAATGTAGGAGAGAAATAGTATTTCAGGTACTACTAAGCAGTTGCCTGTTTTCCGTTGTTCCACTCTCCTTGGAAAGTCTCTTCTTCAGATCTCTTATTTATCATTTTGAGTTCTATATGACTAAATACAAAAAGATCCGTAATTGTGGTAGAGTAAAGTTAAAGATAAATCATCTCATATTTCTTTTATAAAGTTTTTAAATTTTAGTCTCAAAAATAAGCAAATTATTTGAATAAAAATTTTAATACAGAATGTTTTTGTGCTATTAGTATTGTCTTTTTATTGCTTATACTATTTTAATGAAATGGTTTGTGTGTTATGTATTTTCATTGTCATGCAATAAAACACCAAATTCTATTAGCTGGTGGTTCATGAAGAGGAGCTCTTTGCCTTACAAACAACCATGCTCTGTAAGGATTCATCAGTGAAACTCTATACAGCTTCATTTTTATGCTTCCTTTTGGGTTACCTTCCAAGATACTGTGAAATGTCGTAGCTGGAGTTTATTTATGGCTCTTATTTATCATATGAATTTTAATAATAAAGGTTGTCTCTAATAGAAACTTTGTGACTCTGGATCATAATGTTATCATTTCTTTCAGCAAATTGGCAGACTTGAGGACTGCTAGTGGGGTCGCATACATGGACTTATGTTCCTTGGGGTCTATTCTTCCTTTTAACGTACTGGAGTGGTGGATTCCATTTTCAAATATCAAGATGAGTCATTACCTCTGTGTCATCCTACCTCAGTCCTCATCTAAGTCTGACTCTGTTTTGTCTAGCAATTTGCTAATCATCCCTAGACTATATATATATATATGTATATATATATATATATCCCTAGACTGTTTTTGTAACCTAAGTATATTCAGAAATAACCAAACTGTTATGAAGTACATATTTTAGCTGTTGCAGAGAGACCTTCTTAGGAACTCTGAAAGGGAGTTTTTAGAAGTAAAACATCTGATGTTTTGGTAGATCTTAAGAAAATAATAAATTATAAATATATGACCTTCATCATGCTTCAAGTACCCTCAAACCATTTAGACAAATTTCCTGTGGCCCTGTGAAACCATATAAGAAGCAACTTCATTACCTTCAAAACCATATTCTGTTATAGTAATTGTAGGGGAAGAAAGTGAGAGATGAACTTGCAAGAAAATGTAGCTGCTTAAGCGTACACTTTTCTTCAGTTTTTAAAGGATGTGGTCTGTGTGGAGGGGGTAGGAGACAATATTGGCACACTTTCTTGAACTTCACAGACCATTTCCTCAACAGAACCTCTTTAGTTTTAACTATTTCACCAAGACCACATAGTTACTTGTTGTTGACTATATTTATTTCCTCTTACTTTTATCCTTTTTAATTTTTTTATTTCATTTCACATTCCAACCACAGTTCCCCTATCCACCCCTCCTCCCAGCCCCTTCACCTCCCCCTAGCCCACTACCAGTCCATACCTCCTCATAGGTAAGGGCTCTCGGGAGGAGTTAACATAGTCTGGAACAATAAGTTGAGGCAGGGCTGGGCCCCTCTCCATATATTAAACAGAACATTGCATCCTATCATAGGGAGTGGGCTTCAGGTTTGTGTAATGATCCTACTGTCAGTAGCCCCTCAGATAATCCAAACTTCACAACTGTCTCCCATATGTGAACTAGTTTAGTTTCCTGGAGTCTCTAACCCATCTACAGGCACAACCCACATTCAAGTCCTATGCTTACCTTCTTGCACATATTCAAAGAATAACTGAATAAATTTTTCATAGGTAGACCTGTGTTTAGGCTTGACCATGAAATCTCAGTGTCCTTTTGTTTTTTTAGAGTCTTTTCAGCTTGATTTGGGAACATAATGGTATGGTACAAGTTTTCAGAAACTGGCAATATTTCATATCCAAAATTTATAAGAATACAAATAGTAGTAAAAGTAAGTCAAGTAAATGAATCAAAAGTAAAAGTTGGAAAAATTATTGTGAGTTTAAGGAGCATGAACATAAAGTGATTGTACTATAAACCCCCCATTCTGTCTTTGAATAAAGTAAAAGATATAATATGAGACAAAAGTTATCTGAATCCACATTATTGTCCTTCATTTTGAATTCAGCTATGGAGAAGTTCAAACATATTGAAATAAGACTGGATATTAAAAACCTCTATTATTCAGCTTCAAAGAATATCAACAAATTACATGTCTATGTGGCTGATTCTTCTTCCCCATATTTTGTTAAAATACACTTCAGACATTACAAAATTCCATTTGATAACACTTAAGTAACAGTACTACTTAAATGAACTACTTGAAAAGGTAATTAACAGAAGCTAAATTTAAATATTTTTTCAGTAAGGATAGCAAACACTAGATTCCAGTAAGTAAAATTCCCTTTAGATGAATCCAAAACAATTCCAGTGTATTAACCTGATTCTGCTTCATTGATGTGGATCTTCTATCTGTTGACGAAGTGTGATTGAGACTAATGCTGAACCCAGTTCATGTATTCCTGGATCCAAACATAAAAACAAACTATAGCTATCAGGGGAAGGAGTCCAATACTGTGAGAATCTTTGAATGTAAAAGTGCTAGTATTGGCAGACTGCATTTCTGCATTTTAAGGAAAACTGAATATTTGAAGGGGGAAGTCCTTCTGTGTATATGTAAATAAAGCATTGTTGGCTAATAGGAGAAATTGCTTCACAGTGGACTTTTCGGTATTCTGACACTTATGCTCTTTTCACCTTCTTTTCCTGGATGTGCGCTGAGCAACAGATTGTGTGTGTATTTATGCATATATTATTACATGTATATAACAAAAATAATCAAAGAAAAGGAGACCATTAACTTGAGATTGGGTGAGTGTCCTAGGTTGAAAGAAGGAAGGAAGGGGGAAAGTGATACAATTCTATTTCAACTAAAAACATACTTAAAAATACTTAGCACTATTGATTCGGGTCACAGTTAAGAGGTTAATGAATGCTCAAATAAAAACAAGTAGGCTTTGTGGTACTAGAAAAATGGCTCCAGGGCCGAAGGCACTTACTGTCTTGCAGAGGACCTAGATTCAGCTCTCAGTCCTCATAAAGTGACTCAGAAATGCCTGCAACTCAAGCTTCAGGACATTCGATATCCGTTGCCTACTTGGACTTCTGTGTGGGTGGGTGCACATAAATTGAGGCAGACAAATGCAAATAAACACTAAATAACAAATAAATCTGCTTTTAATAAAATTGTTATACTTGTTTTGGTCTCACTAACTTATCAAATGCATATTTTGCTCTCTGAAATTCACAAGATATCTGAATAGGCACTCTCAAAAGAAACCTACAAATCTCTAAGAAATATATGAAAAATACCCACCATAATTATTGATCAGGAAGCACAAACTGAGTCTATAATGTGATATCATCTTAAATATTGTCGAATTTTGAAAATTAAAAACTAGTAGTGAGACTGTGGGGAAGATGAGCCTTTTATATATTGTTAGTGGTGATGTGATCTAGTATGTCGTTAAGAAGAATAGTATGAAAGTTCCTCAAAAGAATACAAATAATAGCTGTATCATAACATGCAATGATTTGACTACTAGATATATATGTAAGTTATATATAATAGCCCTGACAAAAAGAAGTATACACACATATGTTTAATACAACATGGTTTACAATTTCCAAGATATGGTTAAGCTTATGTGTGTATCAGCAGATGGATAAAGAAAAATGTGGCACATGTACTTTCTTTGAGAAGCCTACATTTACATTTATATTCTCCATTTGGTCCTGCTGCCAACTAAGAACCTATTCCTGGCTTAACTTTTGTTCTTGAGTCTATATTCGAATAACTTTGAACACTATTTCCAGCTCTGCTTCATTTTAACTCTGAGTCTTAAAATTCTTTTCAGCGTCAAAGTCATGAATCACCCTTTGACTTGAGTTTAGTTCCTAAAAGTCCAAAGGAACTTCTTAGGCTGCTGAGGGTGGCAGTGTGGAGCTGTGTTTCTGTCCCCCACTTAGTTAAACTAAGATCAGGCATTGTGATTTTTCTTTATGATTAGTGCTGTAACAGATAATCAAGGTCCCCACAAGAATGTTAGGATTGCATTTTTGTAGGATTTTTTTAAGTGTCAGTGAAATTTCGATGGACGTTAGATGGACTATCTAGATCACTTTGGAAAATATAGTCATTTCACAATATAAATTCTAGCGTAGGCATTGGAGATCTTCTATTGTCTAGTGTTTTCTACACTTTCTTCTGTAATTGTGTTAAAGAATTTGTTGTAGAGGCCTTTCATATTTCTGTTTAGATTTGTTTCTAGGTTTGTTTGTGTTTTTTGCTATTGGGAATATTAGAGAAAGAGATAAAGATAATTAAATGAACCCAGAAGAGACCTTCTCCACAGAGAAACATCGAGGATCATTTGTCAACTGTCCTTCAACTATACTGAATTTCCTATACCAAGCCAGGATAAATGACAACTGTCAGGAAGGTGCTCTTTCATCTTGGACACACACATAAGAAGAACATCCAGCTGGCGAGAGAATGACTTGACTGTAGAGAATTAAACAGGAGGAGGCTACATCATGGTCATAGAGAAGGCCACAGCAGTGCAGGTTGTGCAGATAGAGGAAAAAGGAATTCCCAGGAGCTCTTTACCAATACTCTATAGTGTTTAGTTTCAGAAAGAACCGCACCTGCCACAACTAGACTGACAACAACACAGGAGCACAAGGATTGTGCCAAATGGTCTTCGTGGGGTTTGAAATAGATTTAACAGCTTGGGAGAGACTATCCAAGGACTTATGTAAACATGTGTAGAAGTAGTTTCTTTCTGCCTTGTCCCACAGACATCTAGCCCCAAATAAACACATAGATGCTTATATTAATTATAATCTGTTTGGCTGATGGATCAGGCTTTTTATTCGCTAGTTCTCTATTAATTATTAACCGATTTCTATTAATCTAAGTATTTCCACGTGGTCTTGGCTTACTGGAGAATTGCTAGCGTATTATTGCTTCCCTGGCTACATGGCATCTTTCTCTTGTGCCCTCTCTCTGTCTTCCTTTCCCCCAAATTCCCCTTGTCTGGTATCCCCACCTATACTTTCTGCCTGGTTACTGGCCAATCAGAGTTTTATTCATCAACCAATAAGAGAAACATATATATAGAAGAACATTCCTCCATCAAACACAAGTGAACAGGCTTGTCACAGTCCCTCAAATTTGAGTGGGTATCAGTTGTAGAAATGTCTATGTAGAAAATTTGATCCCTGAAACACCAGAGATGAAATTATAACTGGAAATCTATTTTTACCCATCACCTTTTATCTTCAGCCTTCTCTCATAGGAATAACATGTTCTACTATTTGTTTAATCCTATCTCTTCTTTTTCACCAAGTAATACATTGCCAGCTTCTAATCCATCAACTAATTCAAAGTCTCTTTTTTAATCATGTGCTTTGTTTTATATGTACTTGTAGAGGCCTTACAGAATTCATATTGATATAAATGAACTAGAAAATGAGAAAAACACTTGGTTGGTCCTAAACTCTATATTTCTCAGTGAAACCC